GGACGGAGTGCAGGTGAACTCTGATCTTATTCTGAGCCTCTTTGGGGCAACGTGATCGGACTGGAAGTCAAAATGTCTTTCTCTTGATGTGTTTTTCTTTATTTAAAAACTTGAGTTTTAACTTGGAGGTGCCTGGTCGTTTCTGTCATTTATCCAGCCCAGTTTAGATTGAACCACTTCCACATGACGAAAGCATGGACGCAGCATCAGAGCCTCCCCCGATGGGTTTGCATCCAGCCAAATGTGAATATGACAGCTACCTTCGCTTCATAGAACATCTTTTTCGAAGTAGATTGAGGTAACGTTAGTTACCTTTTTAAATTCCATTCACCATGGATTTAAGAAGAATAAATTATCGAACAAGTATAACAACAATATTTATAACATGTACAGTGTTTGAGAAATGTATACTTTGGAACTTTACAACACTGTCAGCTTATATTAAATATTCTGCTGTAACACTTTGTAGCATGATTCAGACTGACTGCAGAGTGAGTTGCTCCAGTGGCTATAGAAGGTGTCTCTGGACCTGCAGTCAACATATGGCCCAGTCAAGCTGTCTCTTAGCAGCATATCGTTTTTCCCCCAAGCTAGAGTACTGTAGATATTGCTTGTAGGGATGCCAGAAACTGACCATGATCAAAATCGAAAATCGGACAGCCCTGGCGAATATTAATCGATTATTCGACCCATACATAAATATTAATAAAAAAATATATAAATAAAATCGAATTTTAAAAATAATCGTCGATTATGGAGACTGTAACGAATATTCGAATAATCGAATAATCGCTGGCATCCCTAATTGCTTGAGCATTATTCTCTTTATACGTTAAATCTAAACAGGGTTGGGAAAACGACTGACGCTGCCTGGTCAAATTAGGGTTCCCCGAGAACTAGCAGTATGTAAACACATTTAGACAGAGACCTAACTGTGCAAGCTCTGCTAATGAGTAATATCTTATTATCACAGCGGCTGGGCAGGAACACTTGAAACAAACGCATCCAGGTTGAAAACCTCTTTCCTCAGTGTCTGCACCAAAGCCCGATATAGGGAACAAAGGTGCAACATGTTTCTGGTCACACAAAATGATTTATCAATGTCTCTAAATCGCCCCTTTGTGAAAGTCATTTCTGCAACACTGCTGTTATATTAACATCAGTTACACTGTACATCAGGGGTGTCCAAAATACGGCCCGAGGGCCAAATGCGGCCCGCAGTCCATTTTGAATCGGCCCTCAGCTAATTAAAAAAGTATAATGAAATATGGCCCACAAATGAAGTTGTGCTTGTCATATATTGTACTTCTTAAATATATATGTACAAATATATTATACAGTATTCATGTGTTAAAAAGCCCACTTTTCAAATAAATTCTGTCAATTAAAGTTTGGAAAAATGTCAAACAAATCTTAGTTGATTAGTTGCTTGCCATAACAAGCTTGAAATCTACCCTTCATATTTCCCTTCATGATAAGCAATCTGAAGCTTCTGTTTTAAGGAATGAGCTGCTAACACGTCTTATAACTAAATAAAGTAAACTTTCTGGAGAGCTGGGATTTAGGCTGTTTCTTAAAGCAAGTATCAAGCATCATTTACCTACATTTGATTGATTTTGCTAACTTATAACTGAACTTATGAGGCAGTATACCTCTAGTGAGCGGCCCAGCCCTTCGTAGCTTTTTCTGTATGTGGCCCTCGGTGAAAAAAGCTTGGACACCCCTGATTATCATCATCTAACATTCCCATCATTTGAAAGCGCAGGTCCTTCCATCCTGCAGCGGTCAGACTCTACGACCACCATCACACACTACGACACTACGACACCACTGCTCAATAACACACATGCAAAATGTCTTTATGATCATTATTACTTTTACTGCTGTTATCTAGCTGCTACCACACTACTTTCTACATGTTAGATCATTGTTTAAAACACCGCTACTGTTATTTTGTGCATGCCTATATACAGTATTTAATCGTGTTGTATTTTTTGTCTCGATCTATACTGTCCCATGTTCAATTCCTCTCTGTGGGACACATTCAATATTTACTCACGTTAGTTACAGAGATATATTATAAATAATAACTGAGATTATTTCCACTAATAGAAAATAAATGTTTTGATTACTTGACAGGAATATATTCATTGGGTGCCGCTCAATTTTAAAACAATTTTTATAATGGGATGTAGCTGAACTGTGCATGGTGTTTAGCTGCTCCTTGCTCTCCTTGTTGTGTGAACAGCAGTTCCCCTGGGGTGACTTCCTGCTCCTGTTATCCTCTGGAACAAACAGAGGAACCACAGAGTGATGCAGCGGCTCTGGAGGAGCTCTGTCTGGCCTAATAAAAGGAGCCTTGATGATGTCATCAGGAATCCCAGACTGTAGATAATACTTTCAATGATATAGTAAACTAGAGCTAAACAATGCATATTGTGGAGTTTGACAGACATCAGTATTTACCAGAGAGGAGAACAGACGGTGTTTCTATGAAGCCTCCTCTGTGCAGCTCTGCTGAATAGTACACTGAGTGTTGAGCTCTTTATGTTGTGATGGAGAGTAATGTGCAATGTATCTATATTCTAATGGCACGCATTATACCAGGGGCGACCAAACTGTGGCCCTTGGTCCATTTTGAATTGCCCCTCTAATTTAATTAATTCTAAAAGTATAATGGAATATGGCCCACACCTGAAACTTGTGCTTATCTTCTACATTGTATTTCTTAAATATATGTACAAAATAACCTGTATACGAATTGATGACATTTCCTAACACATCTTAGTTGATACAAAAAAAGCCCAATAACTATTTGCATAACAAGCTTCCCTGTTTCCCCTTATTGTCTCCCCTTTACAAAGGGCTGTGAAGGGAGACAATCTGAGGCTTCTGTTTCAGGGATGAGCAGTCAAACCTTTCTGTAACTAAATGAAAATAATTCAACCCTATTCATGGAGGGCTGTGATGTAGGCTGTTTGTTTTCTTAAAGCATTCAAGTATCAAGCATCATTTAACTACATTTGATTGATTTTGCTAACTTATAACTTAACTTATGAGGCCATATACCTCCCCTCTATGAGGGCCCAGCCCTTCGTATGTTTTCCTGTGTGTGGCCCTCAATGACACCCCTGCATTATACTCTCTGTGGAAACAAATGTTGCGTTTGAGGACAATCAGAATGTAATATGCTATATGACTCACTTTAGGGACTAACAGTCAGTGCCTCTGCTCTGCTGCATCAATCCTCTACCATCATGTGTTATCTGTCTGTTGGGATCCCCTACAGTCATTTTGACACACACACACACACACACACACACACACACACACACACACACACACACACACACACAAGGTATTTTGCAAGACTACCTGCTAATAATGCCTCTCAACAAACATGTAACTGCAGCAGCTCAGTGAGATGTTCAAAGTAGAGTTCACCCGATATCAAGATGACCAGTTCGCTCTCACCTCTAATACTGTTCATCAGTTTATATTGTGTGAGTTGCTCCGTGTTGGAAATGTTTGCCGTAGAGTTGTCTGCCTCTTTTTGCTTAAAATGGAACTAGATGGGAACCTGGTTTTTTGAAGCATCAATGTGTCTGTCCAGAATGACCCGGTTACTCCAGATAATCCACAGAAGTTGTCGTGAGACTTTTTTCAGAGGACGAATACAGCAGGTCAACAGAGGGGCAGGCAACAAGCACACACCAGGACCACATCTAAAAGTAATACAGAAACTAATAAACCGGAGTGACCTCGGTGGGTGTGGGGAATTAAAGGGTGAGATCGGTAGGAGGGAGTCAATCCATGGAGAACTTTATAGGACTTGTTACAGTTAACAACAATAGTAAATCCTTCAAATAAACTCTGAAACTGACCGGGGGCAGTCAGGTGTGGGGGAATATGCTCACATACATGTATATATATCAGGAGAGATACCAAAGAGAAAGTGAGTGGTAATAAATCATTGATTACTTTTTCAAATGTTTTAAATAGTAAAAATGGTTTTGCTTTCACCCAGCCGGTGGAAGAAGCCACCACACCATTCATTTGTTTGTAAAACATAAATGCCAATTCAGAAATCCTGCTGTCTCACTGTGCAGAGAGAAGCGTGCATCTCTCACCCTCATGCTGGGGAGAGCGCGAGATGTATGGAGGTAGATTAGTCTATAATATTATTTGTGTGAACACATCAATGTGTTATCTCTAAATGTAATGTTATTTTGTATATATTGATTGTTGTGCTTTTATTTATGTCTTACTGTGTGCATATGTTTAAATGTGTCTGTTGATTGTGTATAGGATATACATCTTTTTTATATATATTTGTATTTTTGTATTCGGGATTGTGGGAAACGGCATTTCGATCTCTCTGTCTGTACACACAAACTGAAAGATTGACAATAAAGTTGACTTTGACTTAAAACACCTTCCACATGTGCAAAAAGAGTTACCGTGAAAGGCGGCAAACGCGTTATTCTTTCTGAAAATGGCCGACTGACACGAGTAGATTGTGTGTGTGAAAACCAATCCAAACAAAGAGAATTGATTTTGATTGTTTATATCTCCAACACTCGGCAACTCCACCAAAACACCAAACCATCTAAATGAATAAATAACAGTAAAGATTACAGGGAAAATATGCATTTTGTTTTTTTAGGCAAACAAGAGTTATAATGAAGATATTCAGGTTCTGATGTGGCACACATCGCTAAACACAGAAACAGGTGATGAGAGGTTTCATGTTTTTGAAGGTTATGTCAGGGCAATGAGCAGAGACAACTCAGTTGGTATATTTGAGAATTTAGAGAATGAACAATCAAAAGAAGCCTACAGTGTAATCATGATGGAAACAGGTGTGTGTGTGTGTGTGTGTGTGTGTGTGTGTGTGTGTGTGTGTGTGTGTGTGTGTGTGTGTGTGTGTGTGTGTGTGTGTGTGTGTGTGTGTGTGTGTGTGTGTGTGTGTGTGTGTGTGTGTGTGTTGGTGTGCTCACCTGATGCTCCTTCTGTTGGTTCAGTCATCTCCCAGACGCTGATCACGAGCACCATTACAAGTAGAGCTCCTTTACATCCGGTCTGCGTGTAGCGCTCACTCATCCTGAGGACAGTTACAGAGAGGGTCATTCAGCAGGAGTTTCAGCCTATTGTGACTTTCAGAACAACATTATCCAATGGAACAGGAAGAGGAAGAGGAAGAGGAAGAGGAAGAGGGGGCTGCTCCACTTGTTTGCACTTTAACTCCTTAGTAGATTCTCTTCTCTTTGCTTCTGTATTTCTTTGTGCTTTTCAAAACAAACTGTGAATGTGCCCGAGATCACTCCAAATCCTTTCTCTCTTCCCCTGCACTTCCTCCCTCTCCCCCCCCCGACACAAGGCTCTTAGAGAGGACCATGAACAGAAGGTGGAGACCCTCCGCTTCCCCCCAGGCTTCAGTCAGCTCTGCAGCGCAGAGGAAGAGCTTGCAGTGGCTCATCCAGCTCTCCTCTGCTCTCCTCTCCCTGATGAAGTGTCACACTGCACACACCATCTGGCTCAGTCTGTTATCATCGACTGACAGCGATCACATTTCAGATGCAGCAGCGCTACGGTAATTACTGGAAGAGGCATGGTATCGTATGGCGTGAGCGGACAATGTTACAAGCTGCGTTTACGCCTTATTTACCGCCTCTTATCTTTCTGCCTCATTGACGTTTAGATTGGCCAAACCGCGTTGGGATTCTCATATTATTTGTGTAATTAAGTTTATTTTGGCACCCTATTCACAGGGAATAGGAATGAAGGGATGTGATGACATAGAACAGACAGGAGACTCATGACATAAGTAATAATGTTTCTAAAATATAGACATACAGGTAATGACATCTAAATACCCTGATTATGGTCACATATCAAAACAGCTTGCAAACAATTAGTGTCTTTGAACTCTTTTGAATTATTGTAACACTAGATGCCAGATTTACATGTAAAGCATTTTCCCTCTCATAAACTGGTGTTTCTAAAGGAAGAATGCACTATGCAGATAGCACATGAGGAAACTGAATATAAGCACCCAGCTCATCAATAATAGGGACTTCAAAACAGAATCAGGCATGACAAAATGTGTGCTGAGAATATATGTCTTTGTGCGTACCAACAGTTTGAGTTAAAAATGTTTATAGAAGATGTGCTTGTTAACATTTACTGATATGTTGTGCTTCATTCTCCTTCCCAGAATAGATCACTTGTAAATAGTGTACATTCATTTGATCTTTTCTTGAGTTAAAACCGTAAAAACCATACTGCTAAAAAAAAAACTAAAAGTATTTTTTCTACATTAAACATTTAGGTGACCCTTGATTATTGTAATACAATTCCATTCAGAAAAACTCAGGTTTACCAGAAGCTTCCCATCAAGTAATGCAGCATAGATATTTTCCTCTCAATGGTTCTTTTCCGCATCACCCACATTCTATAGCTTTAAAACACTGTTATCACCATAGTGTGTTATATAGGTGTGTTTGCATATAAATGGTCTGCCTGTGTTCCCTCCAGAGGGAGTTTCTCTCCTACACCTGAACATCAGCAGGAGAGGACTCTTTAAAGTAGAGACACTACATACTGATATACACCTGAACATCAGCAGGAGAGGACTCTTTAAAGTAGAGACACTACATACTGATATACACCTGAACATCAGCAGGAGAGGACTCTTTAAAGTAGAGACACTACATATTGATATACACCTGAACATCAGCAGGAGAGGACTCTTTAAAGTAGAGACACTACATACTGATATACACCTGAACATCAGCAGGAGAGGACTCTTTAAAGTAGAGACACTACATACTGATATACACCTGCACATCAGCAGGAGAGGACTCTTTAAAGTAGAGACACTACACACTGATATACACCTGAACATCAGCAGGAGAGGACTCTTTAAAGTAGAGACACTACATACTGATATACACCTGAACATCAGCAGGAGAGGACTCTTTAAAGTAGAGACACTACATACTGATATACACCTGAACATCAGCAGGAGAGGACTCTTTAAAGTAGAGACACTACATACTGATATACACCGGAACATCAGCAGGAGAGGACTCTTTAAAGTAGAGACACCACTACATACTGATATACACCTGAACATCAGCAGGAGAGGACTCTTTAAAGTAGAGACACTACATACTGATATACACCTGAACATCAGCAGGAGAGGACTCTTTAAAGTAGAGACACTACACACTGATATACACCTGAACATCAGCAGGAGAGGACTCTTTAAAGTAGAGACACTACATACTGATATACACCTGAACATCAGCAGGAGAGGACTCTTTAAAGTAGAGACACTACATACTGATATACACCTGAACATCAGCAGGAGAGGACTCTTTAAAGTAGAGACACTACACACTGATATACACCTGAACATCAGCAGGAGAGGACTCTTTAAAGTAGAGACACTACATACTGATATACACCTGAACATCAGCAGGAGAGGACTCTTTAAAGTAGAGACACTACATACTGATATACACCTGAACATCAGCAGGAGAGGACTCTTTAAAGTAGAGACACCACTACATACTGATATACACCTGAACATCAGCAGGAGAGGACTCTTTAAAGTAGAGACACTACATACTGATATACACCTGAACATCAGCAGGAGAGGACTCTTTAAAGTAGAGACACTACATACTGATATACACCTGAACATCAGCAGGAGAGGACTCTTTAAAGTAGAGACACTACATACTGATATACACCTGAACATCAGCAGGAGAGGACTCTTTAAAGTAGAGACACTACATAATGATATACACCTGAACATCAGCAGGAGAGGACTCTTTAAAGTAGAGACACTACATAATGATATACACCTGAACATCAGCAGGAGAGGACTCTTTAAAGTAGAGACACTACATACTGATATACATCTGAACATCAGCAGGAGAGGACTCTTTAAAGTAGAGACACTACATACTGATATAGACCTGAACATCTGCAGGAGAGGACTCTTTAAAGTAGAGACACTACATACTGATATACACCTGAACATCAGCAGGAGAGGACTCTTTAAAGTAGAGACACTACATACTGATATACACCTGAACATCAGCAGGAGAGGACTCTTTAAAATAGAGACACTACATAATGATATACACCTGGAACATCAGCAGGAGAGGACTCTTTAAAGTAGAGACACTACATACTGATATACACCTGAACATCAGCAGGAGAGGACTCTTTAAAGTAGAGACACTACATACTGATATACACCTGAACATCAGCAGGAGAGGACTCTTTAAAGTTATCGACTTCAAACTAGCATGTAATTCAGCATTTAACGGATGTAAATGTCTTCTAAATCTCCCAGTTAAACTTTTAGGCTTATGATCATCATTGTAATGAAATCAAGTTTTGAATCGAGAAATTCCAGTTTCAGGGCGGAGAGGGATTTGAAGTTATCAGTGTGTGAAGTTATAGCTAAACAGCAACAAAGCAAAGCTGTCAGCTGTATGATCAGGTCTGTTCAGTAAATTATTGAAATGTTGGTCAAGGGGGCCATATTTATTAAGGACTTCCTTTTCCACCCTAAGATCAATTGTAAACAGTCTGAGAAACAACTTGAAATGCGAGAATGGAGTTTAAGTTGAGCGATGTCTATGACCATATTGTTTAACAAATAGCCAATTTTGTCTATTTTGTGATTGGCTAATACTACTCGGACTACAACTGAAAACACCATCTCCTCCTATCCCAACATCTTGTCACCTTGCCTACAGATTTGAATATCAAATGCTAAAATCTGTTTATAGAGATAAGTTAACAATTGACCGTCAAATGTAAAGGGGAATCTTGGTGATACACCTGACCCTGCCCCCAGAGGCTCCTGTCACCAAACCAACAGCCAATAGGTTTCAAGATTGATATTACTGTGAACGTGCTCTCCCTAACGTGCCTTAACTGCTTTGTGATATTCTTTCCCAGAATGCTTGCTGGTCATGCTGGAATTATCTGAACACCATGTCCTTTAGCCACTTATCAGTAACTGGTCTTTAAATGGTTTCATGGGGGATGTCCCATCAACCTTCACAATGACCAAGATTGCTTAATTCTCAACTCTTAGCAGGATATTGAAAGGTAGTGTGGAAAGAGATTCAACTGTTGAGTCTTATAGCAACAAAATGGTACTGTTATATATTTGCTCAAATGGACCTCAAATTGTTCACCTATGTACACTTGTATCGGAGCTAATGTTCACCTCCATGGAGACCGGCTGGGTTGAAATGTTTGCCAGTGTGTGTGTGAGAGTGTGTGAAAGGGTCATTGATGACAGAGAGCATGGTAGAGCACTACAGCATCATGTGTTGGTGCTGTCTATGAGCAGTTCTATAAAGACAGCTCATTGTCCCTGAATGTGCTGTGTTGTCATTGGTGCTCGACTGAGCGTCTCGCTAAAGATTTGTCACAGTTTGAAGCTGTTTTAGATCTCAACCTTGAGTTGGAAGACTTTAGAAACTTAAAAGTAATGCAACAAAACTGCTGCATGAATCCAAACCACCTTCTATTGAAATGATTATCATATTTGATAAGAATGTGTCTGCTGAGCTGCACACAACAGTGTGATCCCCTCAGTTAACGAGGTCTGTTAGCTACTTCCTGCTGTTCAGGAGGTGATACATTGAACTAGTACATCAGTATGATTCATATAATAAAAAAGCTTCATGGTACAGTTTTCTGATCTTTCACTTGCTCATGCTTAAAAGAAAAGGAACCAACTTTTGATCCTCTTGGAAATTTCAACTTTTGAGACAATATAATCCTGTTCCCATCATTTAAAGCTAAAACAATGCAGCTTATGTTATCTATGGAATAAATAAACGTGTGTAATGTTCAACAGGTGCACTCATTAACATATTAGAGCAGGGGTCGGCAACCCCTGGCACGCGTGCCACCATTGGCACGCGGCACCGTAACTAGTGGCACACTAGGAATAAGTGGAATAAGTGTGCAAAATATTTAAATTTTATTTTCGGATCCTGAACGAGACCGCCGCCAGAGCGCGTCTCCCCGTTACCTGCAGAAGGAAGCCATGCACACAACGCA